TGTTAGCGTTAAATTTTTCCGGAACATGTTACATAATGGATAATTACATAATGGGCGGGGAGGGAAGGGGTTTACATACACTAGTTTTACATAATGGGAGCTTAAATGTAGTTATTCATACCATTTTTTACTTCAATTTTGCAGAAAAGTCCTTAATATTTACCCCGTTCCGCAATTCCAGGGCCCCTTCTCCGCAAGTTGCGCTCCCTTTTTTACTATTATTTGGGGTGTTAGCCCCCCCCCCCCATACACCCCAGTAGTTATGTAGGTTAATTGAGGTTAATATTTTAGTTATCAGGCTTGTTAATGGTATCAGAATATCGTAAATGTATGCTGCTTTTTTATGACATAACACACGCCCTTCGTGGAAATCATAGTTGAACGGACTAGTGTGTATAATTTTTAAAGACCGTGTAAAGTCCGTAATGTAAACAAACGCTTTGTTTACATTTTGAACTCAGTGCTACAGTTGTAAAATATGATTAGATATATATTATACTGAATTTTTAACACTCTTCTGGTTCGCTATGCTTGAAAATGAATACAGACTAGAGATTCAGTTCAAGAAAGTTCAAAAGATACAAAATATTAATAACATTCCAACGGTCGGGTCCCGACCATTGGAATGTAAGCCTGCGCAGAACGTATGCGCAGAACGGACTTTACATGGTCTTTAAATAAATATAGTTTTACCAAACTACATACCTACCTCGTAAAGAAAAAACTATTCTAAAGCTTTTTTCCGCGTTTTACCCTCTTTTCTGCGTTTTACCCTCTTTTCCGCGTTTTACCCTCTTTTCCGCGTTTTACCCTCTATTCCGCGTTTTACCCTCTATTCCGTTTCCGCTTTTCCGGTTCCGCCAGTCCGTTCCGTTCCGTTTCCGCGTTTTACCCCTACCCACACCGTAGGCTAGGTCAAAGTATGATCCGAGTATTGAGTTTCTTTGTATTAATTAAACCTTCGTAATGTCTTCATCAACAACGACTTTCCGGCTGCTCTGTTTGTTCGGCCTTCTTTACCTTGCGAATTGTAAATGGATCGATCTTAGCTATGCGTTCAACAATGAAACCATGTATTGGGGAAATTCCACCAGATTTCACCATAAGCTTATTCATGAAGGCCCAGTAATAGCAAATAATGTGACCCTTATTCCGTATTACACGGCGTATGAAATTAGCACAGCTGAACATGGCGGCACTCACATGGATGCACCGATTCACTTTGCTAAAGGAACATGGTCAATTGACCAAATCCCAGCTGAAAAGCTTGTTGGTGATGCTGTAGTTGTAGATATCTCTGCGAAATCAGCCGCAGATCGTAATGCTCAACTGACAGTTGATGATCTGGAGAAATGGGAAGACGAACATGGCGCTATTCCTGACGGGAGCATACTGTTTGTTTTTTGTGACTGGGGCAAATACTGGACAAGCTATGAGAAATATTTTGGAACCAGTACGAAAGATACTTCACTCTACCGTTTCCCAGGTACAGTAGTAATGCATTTTTTGATAAACTAAAATATAATCTAAACTAAAGTTGTGCATGCAGTGTTAAATCAAGGCCCCTGTACATGTTGGATGTTAGCACACGTCAACAAATAATGGTTTTCAAATATTTAATATTCCGCACTCTGGTACAGCACTATACACTACGTCTACAGCCTCTCAAGTACGCTTTTAGCTGTTAATATTGCGAGCACTCGAATCGATCGGGGTTAGACGTGTATTTTGTGCTCCGCGATCTCTACATATATATATATATATATATATATATATATATATATATATATATATATATATATATATATATATATATATATATATATATATATATATATACCAAATATGTATTTAGAATCATCTGTTTAATTAATTAATTCATTCATTTTACGTTACATACGTTACATTTTACGTTATGGCTTTCAATTACAATGAGAGTGCTAAGATAAATGAACTGGTTTTCAACAGTGGTAAATTGAAGCGGCTGGGTGACATTTATAAGTCTGTTTCAACGATTCGTACAAGAAATACTGAACATCAAGTACTAGACAAAACATGAGCAGCCGATCTGTATCTAATATACAAATTCAAGCCAAAGGCGAGCCGGAGTTTGTATATCAGATACAGATCGGATGCGAATGTTTTATCGTACTTGACCCATCTTATATATGAGTTCATTGGCGAAGTAATTTTAAAAATAAACATTGTCTAAGCCGAGAAAGTCAAAGCTGAAGTTTATGTAAATCAGGACAAATCTTTAATGTCTTTTTATCCGATTTAATTGGGGGGAAATCTGTTTTAGGCTTAGGCAGACTCATATTTAAATTATTAGTACGTAGGTGATAATTTGTGTTGTTACATTTATGAAACAACATTGTCAGGTAATTTGGCGCCATACCATAAAACTTTAATTAAACATCATTATTAATTCTCGTTTATCAAGCATTGTTTTGATTGATTGCCATTGAAGGGTTTCAAAAATTTGGACAGATCTAATTAACAATTAGACAACGAAGCCGAGTTGTCTATGAGCGAATAGTCAACGAGGCGAAGCCGAGTTGACTATTCGTTCAGAGACAACGAGGCTGAGTTGTCTAATTGTTTTAGTATAATTAAACCACACAAAGAAAACGGAATTTTTCACTTGATTTTTATGTAAAATAATAACGTTTTAACAAAATGAGCGTTTAAATGGCTTCCTTTGGCTTTGCCGACATTTCGCCTCGGCTTTGTTGACAACTACTCAGTGTTGCGAACTCCCAAGAATGACTTGAAAAATACAACTTGTGAGTTTTAAAAAAGTTAAAAAACATGTCGTAAAACAGTATAATAGTAAGAGACCGTTATAGAAGCAAATTTTGGTTAATTAAAACTTATTTAAAAGAAGGAAACAAGGCTTAAAAAGTTCAAAATTTCGAACACAAAATGGCTTCCCGAATTGTTACTAAATTCTGTTACTAAATTCTACTAAAACGTCACACTTCATTGAATCCCGGGTAAGCGGGACCATATAAACAGCCCCTTAGAGCGCTGCACTGGAATAATCAACTTCTCATGGTTAGGTCTGATAAATATATAAAGCTTTTACTCGAAATTTCCATGAACAAATCCCTTTAATAAGTAGTTATATCAAGTGAGATACCCAAAATCCTGATATTTATACAATTAAACCAACCGACAATATTATACATTAATGTAGTCATCGTGTGTCTCTGGCTGGTCAATAGCTTACAGCTAAATATGGAAACTTGCATTCAGAAGGCGGGGGGTCAGAAGGCGGGAGGGAAACTGCATGTGAAGGTTGAGCCTGCAGCACGTAATTTTATAGGAAGCGGCAGTTTTAAATACACAATGGAGCTATGTAGCCAGGTGAGACCGGCAGAGCTCTCGAAACGAGAAAAAGGGAACATAAGAGAAACGTTCGACAATGTAAATCCGGTTCCAACATATAGCAAAACATGCTTGGACTCAGGACCGCAAAATCAACTTTGATGAATGCAAAATCCTAGACAAGGCAACCTATCGGCGCAAATTAGGAACGTTGGAGTTCTGGCATACAGCAACCACATTGAATTCTGACAACAATGCGCGACATTTACCAGAACAATATAACAGATCAAAGTTTTTTATTTATAAGAACGCTTGTTTCACCAGAATTTACGTAGGCATTGCATGTAATTGCAATTGTAAACCATTGTCTTTGTAGCTATATCCGTATAATATTTAGTACCACTTTATAGTTACGATCAGCCGCCGTTGGCTTGACTGATAGTCTGAGTGATACTGATACTCGTCGACTACACTGATTCAAACATGACTGATTCAACAAACATTGTGAAACGTTTAGAAGAAATTGGATGTCAAGGTCTTTCTAGCTTTGAGGTCGATCGAAATAAAATTAAATGGCGAAACGACTTCGAGCATCTCAAGAAGTTCGTTCATGATTGCCTTGGAATCAATGGGAAATGGTCTTCTCCTGGCGGGGGAGCAAAACGTTTTAAAGCACAAGACGACAATTTCAGCATAAACTGGTATTTTAAGAAGCAGTCAACGCTACTTTTCCAGGGATGTTTAGGAGACGTTTTTAAGAACAAAATAATAGAGCTACTTAGCGAAAAAACACAGAAGAATGGCGCTGTCGAAACCGTAGGGGATTCTGTGATTCAAAATCAAAGTCAAAACGAAGTCATCAGTGTCAGTGAAACGACCCAAGAGAGCTTTCTGAACACATCTGACGATATTTCCCAAAACAATCCATGCAAGGATTCAAACATCTGCCAGAAAAGTCAACCTACTTCTACCGTATGTGGTTGTAACTGCAAATCATTGGCAACAGATATCGCAGGTATTCAACTTGATATGATAATTCTACAGAACCGTGTTGAGGGAATGATTAATGCAAAGACTAACATTTCTCCAAACGAAGAAGTAATGGCGAAGCTCCAGCTTGAACTTAAACAACAACAACACAGAAATCAAATGCTTGAAGATCGTGTAAAAGCAGCTGAACAAGAGAGAGACTCGCTCCTCTTAGCTTTAAAGCTCCTTACACAAGATCAACGCCATTCCCATGAAAAACAAATTAATGCTAATGACCGGGATGACTTTCAACAACCGAATCGAGATACCCATGCAATCCCGCTTAAAAATCAATTCTCTTCTCTTGCTGTCGAGGAGACAAGTGAAAGCGTATCTGCTTCAACGACAAACCTCGAAAATCAATCTACAAGGAAGCGTGTTAAAGAAGAAATTGTTCTTATTGGTGATTCAATAGTGAAACACATCGACCCTCGAAAACTTACAAAGAAAAAAGTTTATAAATTTACATACCCAGGGAAAACTGCCGAAGATATTGAAAAGGAACTTAACATTATTAATATTCAATCATCTCCCTCCCACGTAATTGTTCACGCTGGGACAAACAACATTCCGATAGACTCAACCAAAGTATGTTCGAAGAAATTAGAAAGGCTTGTTATCAAAACCAAAGCAAAATTCCCTAATTCAAAAGTTGGTTTATCTGGAATCACGTTTAGACAGGATATAGAACAAGCAACTAAAATACAGGAAGTCAACAAGAAACTCGAAGAAATGGCTGCAAAGCACGATGTTATGTTCATTGATAACTCTTCCATTGATCACACATGTTTAAATGGGAGCAATATACATCTTAACGGCAAAGGTTCAGCAGTCCTGGCCTCACATTTTATTACCTTTCTGAGAGGAAATCAACCCCGTGTTGTTCAAGACACGACTCGTTCTGAGAAGGATTTTCGTATGGCAACAATCAATCAAATAGGGGACATGTTGAAAGCGATACTCGTGGGGAACTCTCGCAAAATTCGACGATAAATTCACGGTGTGATTCGGACCCAGTTTCTACTTCTCATGGCCATAAGATAAGTAAAAAATCAGATAGCTCATTATTAAATTATTTAAAAAATTCTAAAGGTATTAGGATTGCATGCTTAAATGTTAATAGTCTTACAAAGCATATTGATGAGCTTCGAATTATGATGCAGAATAGCCCTATAGATATTTTAGCAGTTAATGAAACCAAAATTGATGGCTCATTTTCTGAAAATGAAATTAATGTTTTAGGATACCATGTTATTCGCAAAGATCGTAATAGACATGGAGGCGGTGTACTTTTGTATGTTCGTGACTCTATACCATTTACGGAACGGAATGACTTACTAGCAGACACTTTAGAAATGGTTTGTGTGGAAATCAGCAGACCATGTAGTAAATCCTTCCTAGTAAGTACATGGTATAGACCTCCTAATACAAATCTTCAGGTGTTTGATGACTTTGAAGCTTTCCTCAGAAACTGTGATCTTGAGAATAAAGAATTAATACTTGTTGGAGATTTAAACTGTGATGTAAATAAATCTCCTTCCGATGCGCACACGCGTAGGTTAAAATTCCTATTGTCACTTTATCAATTTGATCAGATAATTGATAAACCCACTAGGGTAACTAGAACGTCAGCAACTTTGATCGATCTGGCAATCACGAATAAGAAACAAAATATTGTAAAATCCGGAGTACTTCATCTAGGTTTATCTGATCACAGTTTAATTTTTGTGGTCAGAAAACATTTTAAGATCACGTCTCGACAAAATGTTAAGTATGCTCGTAACTTCAAAAAATTTAGTGAAACTGACTTTCTCAATGATCTCTCACAAATTCCGTGGGACAATGTGACATTTTACGACGATCCCAATATATCATATCAATTATGGCGGTCACATTTTTTGCAAGTATTGGATCTGCATGCGCCGCTGAGGCGTATGAGAGTTCGTGGCAATTCTCTCCCATGGATTACCTCGAAAGTAAAGGAGTTAATGCGAGAGAGAGATTTTCACAAAAAGAAGGCCGTAAAAAATAATTCGAACATGCACTGGATCAAGTTTAGAGCAATTAGGAATAAAGTCAATTCTGAATTAAAGAAGGCTAAAAAAAACTACTTTTGCAATAAAATCGAAGATTGTGCCAGGGCAAAGGACCCTAAGCAAAGTTGGAAATTAATAAACAATCTTTTAGGCAAAAATAATAAATCAAATAATATCTCTCAACTTAAAGTTGAAGACGTTATTATTTCTGACGACATAAAGATAGCCGAGTCCTTTAATGATTTTTTTGTGAATATCGGAGCTAAACTAGCTAACGAAATCGAGATCAATTCCACTGATTTCACTTCATTTCAAAGTGTTCCTTCTAGGCCAGATATTCAGTTTAAGTTCTCTGAAATAAGTACACACGAAGTGTGTCTTCAATTACGCAATCTTAAAACATCAAAATCAACAGGTATTGATACAATTCCAGCGAGAGCACTTAAAATTGCTGCTGAAATAATTAGTCCGTCACTAACGTGGATATTTAATTTATCAATTAAAACTGGAATTTATGTGGAAGAATGGAAAAAGGCTTGGGTTTTACCAATTTATAAATCTGAAGACAGACAAAAATGCGAAAATTATCGTCCAATTTCCATTCTACCAATTATAAGTAAAATCTTTGAACGTTTAGTCTTCAACCAATTATACAAATATCTAAATGAAAACTCCCTGCTTTCTAAGTATCAATCCGGCTTCCGTCCAAAGAACTCAACTTTGTCTGCACTTATTCAAATGTGCGATGCCTGGTACACTAACATGGATAATGGAGATTTGAGCGGTGTTGTTTTTCTTGATATTCGGAAAGCGTTTGACTCAATTAACCATGATATTCTATTGCGTAAAATGAAAGAACAATTTGGAGTTTCAAATATCGAATTTAAATGGTTTGAATCCTACATTTCTAATAGGGAACAAGTGTGTTTTGTCAATGGCACGATGTCAACACCTAGAAATCTCGTTTGTGGAGTCCCTCAAGGGTCTATTTTAGGCCCACTTCTATTCCTGCTTTATATTAATGATCTCCCAAATAATCTCAAGAATACAATCCCGTGCTTATATGCTGATGATACACAGATTTTTTCATCTGCTAATGACTATCAGCACCTTGTCTTCAATTTGAACAGTGACTTGAATAACATAAGTCAATGGCTCAAACAAAACAAATTGCAACACCATTCATCCAAAACTAAAGTAATGTACGTAGGATCTAAACATAATCTCCATAAGATAAATAATGACATTCCTGTAATGTTAAATGGTCAACCAATTCCTAGGGTAACCTCAATACCTTGTTTGGGCGCCACCCTTGATGAAACGTTGAGTTGGGATGAGCATATTGACGTAATTTGCAGAAAGGTTGCAGCAGGTATTGGAACGTTAAGGCGCATAAAGCCATTCGTTCCTGTAAACATGCTGCAATCAATCTATAGCGCTTTGATACAACCCTACTTCGATTATTGTTCTCCCCTTTGGGACACTTGTAACAAAACATTAAAAGACAAATTGCAGAAGTTTCAAAATCGAGCAGCTAGAATAATAGCTGGTGCTGGTTATGAGATCAGGTCTGCTGACGTTCTTCAATCTCTTGAATGGGACAATTTAGAATCTAGAAGAAAATTAACTAAGGCAACTCTTGTCTATAAAATTCTAAACGACCATAGTTCGCCGAACTTGAAAGAGTTTTTGATAAAAAGGAATATTTCGCAAACGACTTACGATCTCAGAAATGCTCAGAATGATCTGGCCGTTCCTAAGCCAAGACGCGACTTTCTGAAAAAGAGTTTTCGATATAGTGGTGCTAAACTATGGAATGATCTTCCTGGTGAAGCTAAGGAAGCCCTATCAATATGTTCTTTTAAAAATATTGTAAGGCAAAGTAACTAACCTAATATTAATTTAAATGGATTATTACAGACATATTTATATGGCCAAATCACACCAAACCACCAACTTCTTTTTAAACCATTCTAATTAATTACTATATATATTGCATGTATTTGTACTTATATTTGTCCTTTTTGTAAATAGTTTTTGTAAATTTTCAAATGTCGACGCCCCTTGTGGAAATCAACTCTCTTTGTTGACAAGGCTAAAGTCTTTAAATAAATTTTTACATACATACATACATACATACATATGACAAAATGTTGGAAAAAACTTATTTTTGCACATTGCAGCAAATAGTGCTATTCCTTCAAACGCAACCGGCTGACGACAACGCGCTGAGTTTCAGCTCGATTGGTCCAAAAGTTCGTGAGATCTGACAAAATGTTGCAAAAATTTAGTTTTGCACATTGCAGCAAATAGTGCTATTCGGTCAAACGGAACCTGCTGAGCACAGCGCGCTGAGTTTCAGCTCGATTGGCCCAATAGTTAGTGAGATATGACAAAATGTTGAAAAAACTTATTTTCGCAAATTCGAGAATAACAGCGCTGTTCGGTCAAACGTAACCTGCTGAGCACAACACGCTGAGTTTTAGCTCGATTGGTCCAATAGTTCGTGAGATGTGACAAAATGTTGGGAAAAATTTATTTTTGCACATTGCAGCAAATAGTGCTATTCGGCCAAACTCAACCTGCTGAGCACAACGCTGAGTTTCAGCTCGATTGGTTCAATAGTTCGTGAGATATGACAAAATGTTGGAAAAAACTTATTTTTGCACATTGCAGCAAATAGTGGTATTCGGTCAAACGCAACCTGCTGAGCACAACGCGCTGAGTTTAAGCTCGATTGGTTCAATAGTTCGTGAGATGTGACAAAATGTGTGCAAAAACTTATTTTTGCACATTGCAGCAAATGGTGCTATTCGGTCAAACGCAAGCTGCTGAGCACAACGCGCTGAGTTTCAGCTCGATTGGTTCAATAGTTCGTGAGGATATGACAAAATGTTGGAAAAAACTTATTTTTGCACATTGCTGCAAATAGTGCTATTCGGTCAAACGCAACCTGCTGAGCACAACGCGCTGAGTTTCAGCTCGATTGGTCCAATAGTTCGTGAGATATGACAAAATGTTGAAAAAACTTATTTTTGCAATTTCGAGAATAACAGCGCTATTCGGTCAAACGCAACCTGCTGAGCACAACGCGCTGAGTTTCAGCTCGATTGGTTCAATATTTCGTGAGATATGACAAAATGTTGGAAAAAACTTATTTTTGCGCATTGCGGCAAATAGTGCTATTCGGTCAAACGCAACCTGCTGAGCACAACGCGCTGAGTTTCAGCTCGATTGGTTCAAAAAGTTCGTGAGATATGACAAAATGTTGGAAAAACCTTACTTTTGCACATTGCAGCAAATAGTGCTATTCGATCAAACGCAACCTGTTGAGCACAACGCGCTGAGTTTCAGCTCGATTGGTTCAATAGTTCGTGAGATATGACAAAATGTTGAAAAAAACTTATTTTTGCACATTGCTGCAAATAGTGCTATTCGGTCAAACGCAACCTGCTGAGCACAACGCGCTGAGTTTCAGCTCGATTGGTTCAATAGTTCGTGAGATATGACAAAATGTTGGAAAACACTTATTTTTGCACATTGCTGCAAATAGTGCTATTCGGTCAAACGCAACCTGCTGAGCACAACGCGCTGAGTTTCAGCTCGATTGGTTCAATAGTTCGTGAGATATGACAAAATGTTGGAAAAAATTTATTTTTGCACATTGCTGCAAATAGTGCTATTCGGTCAAACGCAACCTGCTGAGCACAACGCGCTGAATTTCAGCTCGATTGGTTCAATAGTTCGTGAGATATGACAAAATGTTGGAAAAAACTTATTTTTGCACATTGCAGCAAATAGTGCTATTCGTTCAAACGCAACCTGCTGAGCACAACGCGCTGAGTTTCAGCTCGATTGGTTCAATAGTTCGTGAGATATGACAAAATGTTAGAAAAAACTTATTTTTGCACATTGCAGCAAATAGTGCTATTCGGTCAAACGCAACCTGCTGAGCACAACGCGCTGAGTGTCAGCTCGATTGGTTCAATAGTTCGTGAGATATGACAAAATGTTGGAAAAAACTTATTTTGCACATTGCAGCAAATAGTGCTATTCGGTCAAACGCAACCTGCTGAGCACAACGCAACGCTGAGTTTCAGCTCGATTGGTTCAATAGTTCGTGAGATATGACAAAATGTTGGAAAAACTTATTTTTGCACATTGCTGCAAATAGTGCTATTCGGTCAAACGGCAACCTGCTGAGCACAACGCGCTCAGTTTCAGCTCGATTGGTTCAATAGTTCGGGAGATATGACAAAATGTTGGAAAAAACTTATTTTTGCACATTGCAGCAAATACTGCTATTCGGTCAAACTCAACCTGCTGAGCACAACGCGCTGAGTTTCAGCGCGATTGGTTCAATAGTTCGTGAGATATGACAAAATGTTGGAAAAAACTTATTTTTGCACATTGCAGCAAATAGTGCTATTCGGTCAAACGGAACCTGTTGAACACAACGCGCTGAGTTTTGCTCATTGAAAATTTTTTCAAAATTCCGAGGTTGGAAAAAAAAAATGAAATTTTTT